AAAAAAATAAATAAATAAAAAATAAACGAGATACCACTACACATTTATCAGCATGAACAACATCCACAACACTGACCATACCAAATGCTGGCAAGGATGTGGAGCAAAAGGAACTCTCATTCATTGCTGGCAGGAATGTAAAATGGTATAGTAACTTTGAAAGACAGGTTGGTGGTTTCTTACAAATCTAAACATACTCTTACCTTATGATTCAGCAATTGTGCTCCTTGGTATTTACCCAAAGGAGTTAAAAATTTATGTCCACACAAAAACCTGCATATGAATGTTTATAGAAGCTGTATCTATATTTGCCAAAACTTGGAAGAAATCAAGATGTCCCTCAGTAGGTGAACAGATAAATTGTGGTACATTCAGACAATGATACATTATTCAGTGCTAAAAATAAATGTGGGATCAGCCAGGTGTGGTGGCTCATGTGTGTAATCCTAGCACTTTGGGAGGCTGAAGCAGGAGGACTGCTTGTGGTCAGGAGTTCAAGACCAGCCTGAGCAAGAGCAAGACCCAGTCTCTACAAAAAGTAGAAAAATTAGCCAGGCATGGTGGCGCGTGCCTATAGTCCCAGCTACTGAGGAAGCTGAGGCAGGAGAATTGCTTGAGCCCAGGAGTTTGAGGTTGCAGTGAGCTATGATGACACCGCTGCAGTCTAGCTCAGGTGACAGAGTGAGACTCTCAAAAAAATAAAAAAGGAAAGCCATGAAAAGACATAGAGGAAACTTAAATGCATATTATTAATACTAAATGAAAGAAGCCAATCTGAAAAGGCTATATACAGTACAATTCCAACCATAAGAAAGTCTAGAAAAGGCAAAACTATGGAGATACCAAAAAGATCAGGGTCAGGGAGAGGGTGGGATAAGTAGGCAGAGCACAGAGGATTTTTAGGGCAATGAAACTATTATGTAGCATACTATTAATATAATGGTGGATACATATCATTATACACTTGTCAAAACCTATAGAATATACAACACCAAGAGTGAGCCCTAACGTAAATTATAGACTTTGGCTAATAAGGATATGTCAATGTAGGTTCATCAATTGTAACAAATGTACCTATCACTCTGGTGCAGGATGTTGATAGTGGGCAAGCTGTGCATGCAAAGAGGCAGAGGGTATATGGACATTCTCTGTACTTTCTGCTCAATTGTGCTGTGAACTCAAAACTGCTCTAAAAAAATAAACTCTACTTGAAATGTGTGTGTATAAAAGTTAAACAAAATCACACTTTCACAACTTAGGTTTATAATATTTAAACCCTTGTTTTTAAAACTGCAAATTTCTTCCCTTGCTTTCTTAAGCATACAAGTCCAAGAGTACACAGATAAATTCTTCTCTAGGCTTTCTGCAGAGCCTGAGACTCAGGATGCCTAGAGAAATAATTGTCAAATTTTTTAAAACAAAAGACGTATCATTGTGATTTTGATCATTTAAATTTGAGTTTAAAGATCCATCACACATAATAACTTTTAATTCTTCCAATACAGAAATATAAATTATGTTAACCTAGAGGCTGAAGAGCAGAAATGAGTCAACAATTTCTTTTATTTTTTTGAGACAGGGTCTTGCAATCCTCATGTCTCAGCCTCCTCAGTAGCTGGCACTACAGGTGCGCACCACCACGCCCAGCTAATTTCTGTATTTTTTTTGGAGACAGGGTCTCCCTATGTTGCCCAGGCTGGTTTGAACTTATGGCCTCAAGCAATCCTACCACTCAGACTCCCAAAGTGCCAGGATTTCAGGTGTTAGCCACTTGACCTAGCTAACAATCTATTTCTAATATGAACAAAGATGACAAAAAAATTCCATACCTCACTTATTAGAGCTTTGTCCATAGTAAATGAAAGCTACATACATACACAAAGACAACCTTAAGATACATTACTTGTGAAAAATTTATTTCTACTTTCTAGAATTTTTCCAACTAAATTTCTAGCACTTTTTATTTATACACAAATTATCCAATGAATAAGCAGGAATCTGCTTTTGATTTTACATACATTGCAAATGATTTTTACATAGCATCCCGAGAAATATCAGATAGTTGACTTCTTTCCTGTCATTCAGTTGCACATCAAGTTAAGATAATGGCTAAGAGTATGGACTTGACATGGTGCACAGGTGTGACTCACAGCTCTATTGTTTCCTGGCTGTGTGAGTATGGGCATGTTACAGAGCCTATCTATCAAATCTACTTTCCACATTTGTAAAATAAGAATAATTCAAAAATTTGTTTGGTGGAAAACGTGAGATAGTGTAAATCTTAGCAAATAGTACACAAAATAAAATGCTAATTATTATTTACTATTAAACTAAACAAATGCTTTTTTGATTACACATTGTTTTGTATAACACATCATTGTTCAACATCAGATGAATAAACAAGACTTGATATTCATTTTTTTTAAAAATGACAGAATCAATAATTTGCAAGCCTAATAACAATTTAACATATTTAAAAGGAAAAGTTTAAAGTGCAACTTGTTAAAAAGCATAATAAACCACTTACTGATATCTATCCTCTGTTCAATAGGTAAAGGACTGACTCGGCTGACAAGTTTTGAAAGACATGTTGCTGCAAGGAGCTGAGCATAGGATGTCTGTAAAGAATAATTAATATTTATTATCATCACAAATGAAATTAGTATAATTAAACATTATGATAGGAATTTTTTTCTGATGGGAATTCTTCTAGTTTTCCAAACTGGCAGATTTACAATGGATAAAATATATCTATTTGAGATACATACATATAGACGTATACACAAGCGTGTATACACACACGAGCATACAATTCCTCATAAGGGATCATTAGTTAAGAGAGGTGTAAACAGCCATCTCAAACAGTAAGCAACTGGGAGAAATAAATGACTGTGAGCAAGTTCAAATAAAATACAGTACTTTAACAACATGGTCTACACAGTTCAACACAACCTGGCCTCTAATTATTTCTTTAAATTCATTTGGCTCCACTCTTCACTATGCTCAGACCACAGCAGTCTTCCAGTTCCTTTCAATGCCTTCCCCACCCTCACCTTCAGGTTCCTTCGGACCCATGTCTGACTGTATTCTCTTTGGTCACCAACTGTCTTAATTTAATAATGTACTCAAACTCTCTAAATGCATGCACATCCTTCAAAATTTGGTTCAGATTTTCACTCCATCCCCAGGAATTTCTCACAAAGATGGTCCCTCTCTTTTTTTCTCCAGACCAGAAGTTGGCAAACTATAGCCCATGGATCAAATTCTGCTTGTTTTTGCATGGCCTGTGAGCCAAGAATAGTTTTTACAATTTTAAATAGTTTTTCAACTATTCAAAAATCAGAAGAATAACAATATTTTGTGACACGTAAAAAATATACAAAATCCAAATTTCAGTGTCCATAAATAAAGTTTATTAAAACATAGCCATGCTCATTCATTTACACAACATCTATGGCTGCTTTCATGCTATGATGGCCAAATTGAATAGTTAAGACAGATTTCATATGCAGCACTCATTGCTTCCTACTGCTACTCAGTGTACATAAATTGCAGTGATAGAGATATAACTCCACAGTGCCTAGAGTGCCATGGGTAACACCATGACATGACATATACCTTTTACTACTACCAGTGCATACCCATCATGTCAAAACAAGAAAAGAGAAAAGTGTACTTCAAATGTCTAACTTTTAAGATACAGTGGAGTGGGGATCATTTGTTATTGAATTATACGGCAAAGGAATGTGCTTGTTATGCAATGGCACTGTAGCTGTCCTAAAAGAATACAATATATGTTGACAATATCAAACTAAGCACTCATCATAATATTCCCAACTCAAAGGAAATCAACTGTCAGAAAAAGTAGAAAATTTAAAACAGAGTATCTCATCACAGGAGAATGTCTTTATAAAAATAAAAAATATAAAAAGTAAAATGAAGCTGCAATTGTTAAGTTTCCAAGTAGCTTGCTTATTAGCCAATGAAGAAAAACCACTTACCAATATTGAGTTAATTAAAACACCATTGTTTTACTGCAGTAGCCAAAGTTATGTGTGCAGAGAAAATAAACTTAAGACTACTAGTCTTTTGGTGAGAACAAATGCTTAAAGAGTTGGGGACACTGGAGCCATATCAAAAGTCAACTTAAAAATAAGACAAATGATTTGGAAAAATTCTCCTGAGCTCTTAACGAGGGGACAGATGTTACTAATATTGCTCATATCGTTAATGTTACCAATACCTATTCCAGAAGTCAATATTGAGCGTGAAGTGACTAAAGAATTAGCCTATATGAAGAGTCTGTGTGAAACTACACGCTAGAATATTTTCAAAGAAGTTAAGAAATAGTAATTCAATATAATCTGAAGAAGAATCTGCTAAGATGTGTCACATCGGTGGTAAAATATATACAGAGCAGAAAAGGACTTAGTTGAACAAATTTATAAAGCCTGTAAAAAATGTGTAAGATCTTTAAAGCCTATGGTTATTCACTGTATTTTTTTTCATCAGCAGATACTGTGGAGTAAATATCTGAATCTATCATAAGTTAAGGAATCAGTAGTGTTAACAGTAGACTTTATTCACTCTTATAAATTTATCTTCAGTCCTGTGAATTTCTGTCAGATATAGATGCTGAATATCCTAACTTGCCTCATCACACAGCAGTTCAATAGCTTACCAGTGGTAAAGATTTGCTGCAATTTTTTTAGCTCAGGGCTCAGATTTAAATTTTTCTGAATAAGAAGACCAAGCCTCTAATGTTCAAAACTAAATGGCTCTGGAAATTACCTTTTGCTACAAACTTCATAATGTCTCTTAATGAATTCAACCTTAAATTACAAAATTGTCTAAAAGGTAAATAGTGCTTACTACTCCTATACAGAACTTACACTGAAGTAAAGCCATTTTGATAATAACTAATACTGTTTGAATCATAAGTAATGTCAAGCTGCTTTATACACTTCCTGCATTGTCAAAAGTGAAAACAAGTAGTGAGATCTCTATTTGCAGATGTATTTTCTGAGCTCCAACTAGTTTCAGATTCAGACCCTGATGCAAGTGTAAATGAAATTTCCATATTTTAAAACCCATTTAACTGTGCAATTGAGGAGCTTCCACCTTATCTTCAATTGGAAGTGATTAATCTGCAATGTAATGACATGCTAAAAGGCAAATATCAAGAGAAGATTTAATAGAATTCTATAAATGCTAAGTAATGAAATGCTTAATTAAAATCTTATGCTCATGGATTGATATTAGTATTTGGCAGTACCTATTTATGTGAAAAGATATTTTCAAAGATGAAATATGTAAAATCTCAGTATAGATCAGCATTAACATATGAATGTTTGCAATTAATGTTAATAGGAAACACCAACTTTGAACTCCAACTAATTCACCTCTTGGCCCACAAAGCCTAAAATATTTACTATCTGACCCTTTACAGAAGAAGTTTGCCAATTCTGATCTAGATCATATAGTCTCTTACTGTAGTGCTTACCATATCATTTTATAGCTATTTATATATCTATGAGCTTCCAACTAAACAAAGAGCTACTTAAATTCATGTACATAAAACAAGTAGGCAGTGCAGTGCCTGGTTTTACATTTAAGTATTTTGCTAAATGATTGCTGAATGAATGGCTGTAAATATCTAGAAGGGAGGCAGGCAAAAGATAGTCAACATTTTTCTAAATCATTCTTTCAAGTTTCAGAAGTAATTACAACTTGCCTCCCCTACCTAGATTTAAAAAAAAAGTTGTCAGTCAACTTTCTAAAAGTGTAATTTTTGCTCACTAATATGAGACATAAAAAGGGGTCAAAAGTAATCAAGAAACTCTTTAAATTCATTCCTGTTTCTACCTCCTAGCTCTTCCCTAAGTTGGCTTTCCAGGCTTTCCAATTCTTTCTCTGATTAACCCCTTTGACAGTGAAATAAATTATAGTAAAAAGACATGTGGCAATTATCTATCAGTTAACACACAAGTGGAGCAACACTAACATATATCTACTGATCTTTCATGGTTAATCACTATTACCAAATACTTACTGTTCCTTGTTCTAATAAAAGTTGACACTTGCTGAGACATTCTGGGCTGTCAATAAGTTCCAAGAGTGCTTTTTCAGCCTCTATTCTTTGTGTAAGATCAGTCCCTACGTAGAGATGAGTACATAACACTTCCAATTCGGCCAAACTCTTGAGAAGAAAAAAAATTAACATTTTACTTGAATGAAAAAAATAAGGTAAATACATTAACCACAGAAAATAAGGGATGCAAATATCATGCATGCCTGTATTCATTAATTCAATATAGGTTTATTGAAACACAACTACTTACTAGGGGATACAGTGGCAAACAAAACAGGCACATCTCCTACTCCCAAAATTATTTATTTATAAATTGTTAGTTCTGCAATGGAAAATTAAGAGTTTAAAAAAGAGAAAACTTGCCTAATGCAAGGAGTTAGAAAAGATATGCCTGAAGAAATAACATTTATGCTGAGATCTAAAAGGGTAAACCAGATGGGGGAGAAAAAAAAAAAAAAAAGACTAGAAGGCAGTCCAGGCAAAGAAATAGCATTTACCAGAGCCATGCAGTAGAATGAAGTTTAGTCATTTCAAGGCATTAAAAGGTCAGCGTGCTGGTAAAGACAGCAAGGAGGAAATGCCACATGAGGCTAGAGAGATGGATGAGGAGAATGATCATACACAAGTTGCAGACAACCCAATTTACATTCTTTCTCAAATTTTAAGAATTTCAATTGCTCTATTAAAAAATAATAATTATAAATATATACTGATTTGGGGCTTCTGAATTAATGACCCATAGTGCTGCAGGTAAACTATATCATGATTTTCAGGAACTGTGACTTCACCCGATGGTATTTCTGGCAATGTAATAACTAGTTATGTTGCAGGCTTCTATTTTATAAGCACAAAGACTAATTCATTCTGTTTATAAATATAATCTCATCTGACAATATAAGACAAATGGAACCAATCTGAAAAAAGAATGAAAAAATGGTTTCAGCATTCCTCTCAGCTTTAAAGAATTTTTGTAAAAGGCATCTTACTAAAATAAACTAACCTCACTTTGAACTTGAATTAGAGAATTATTCTTTGGAGGACAAAAACATTGGTACAGATTTCAATGTCAGGTGAACAGATGAAGATAACGGGATAGTCCTTTAAAAATGCCACTTTCTGTCCTTCCTGGCCTGAATTTTTATGTGACAGCCTTGCAGCTATACTAACCCACATGCTCCCTCGAATGCATATACCACCTAATAGGAATATATAAGTAATATTGAAATGAGACCTCTTCTAGCTCCCATTATTCTTTTCACTTTTCCTTTCTTCTTAGCTCTTTTCTAGCATTTTCCACTTCCCTATTTAGGTCAGAGCTCAGCATACCAGATTTGGGAATTTTCTGCTAGAGTGAAAATAGAAGTCCAAAAGTCAGATTTCATAAAGATTAATTAAGATTAAGGACCTCAAATGAACCATAGTTTAAACATTTCCCCCACCTAGATTGGCCCAATAAGATCAGATTACTACTACATACTGTTCACAATATTAAAATGCATAGAAAATTTATAGTTCATTAATACATACAAATTTGCATACTTTCTCCAGGTAAGAAATACAAAAATGAAAAGAGCTACCTTTTTCCCTCTCATGATCAACCCTAGAAGTCTTTTCCCTTATCTAATAAACTTGAAGGACTAAATTTTAGAACCAGTATAGCTTAATGATAAACTGATCCTGTTGTCATATATTCATCTAGGCCTAAGATTCTTTGATTTGTTTGGTTTTAGACTTTGTTTTGTTGTTGTTGTTGTTTTGTAAGGAGTAGACTTTGACTACAAAAAGATCTAGGGCATAAATAGTGACAAGACCTATTTAACCAAACAAAAGGCAACAAAAATGAGAATAACAATAATAGTGCCTATCTCATAGGTTTGCTTGGAGGATTAAATGAGTTAGTAACACGTAATTTCTGGTACATAATATATGCTATAAAAACTATTTGTTTATTATTCATATTACCCTAATAATATTTAATGGGTTGAACTATATCCCCTTAAAAGATATCTCCAAGTCCTGACCCCATACCTATGAAATGTGATCTTATTTGGAAAGAGGGTCTGTATAAATTCTTAATTAAGTTAAAGATCTCAGGATGAAATAATCCTGGATTTAAAGTGGGTCCTAAATCCAATGAGTAGTATTCTTATAAAAAAAAAGGAAAGAGAGATGTGACATGCAAAGACACACAGAGACACAGGAGAGAAGGCCACATGAAGATGGAGGGAGAGATTGGGGTGATATATCCACAAGCCAAGGGACAGCAAGAATTGCCAGAATAGCCATCAGAAGCTAGGAGAAAGGCATGGAACAGTTTCTCCTTTGAGACCTCCAGAAGGAACCAACACTATTAAGTACTTTGGTTTCAGACACTGGCCTCTAGAACTGTGGGAGAATAAATCTGTGCTGTTTTAAGCCAGGAGCAGTGGAGCACACCTGTAGTCTCAGCTACTTGGGAGGGTGAAGCAGGAGGATTGCCTCAGCCTAGGAGTTCCAGGCCAGCCTGGGCAACATAGGGAGACTATCTCTTAAAAAAAAAAAAAAAGTGTTGTTTTAAGCCACCCAGTCTGTAGTAATTTGTCACAACAGCCTAGAAAACCAATATAAATATTAATTCAATGGTACCTAAGTAAACCTATTTGGAAAGATTATGGAAAAATTTGGAAATTATCTGTTTTGCTATACTGATTTAAAGAATCTCAAGACAAAAAAAAATTGGGAGTGTATTTAAACAGTATTTAAGTCAACAATGTTACGAATCACTTTTTCCAAAGATATTTCCAATTATTAATAAATGGAAGGCTATACAAGACAAAAGGGAAATGTTTGAACTTTCTCTTACGAAAGATTCAAAGGGAAAAATCAAGTTATTCTTTCATTGTAATGGTAACAATTAAAAATATGCCTGGTGTACTAAACCTTTTTAGAGAAAAGGATATACATACAAAGACCCTGAGCCTGATGGAAAGGCATTATCTAGACATTTAAAATAATTAAACTCACAATGTGGTGACTGCTAACCAAACAATCTTCTGATTAGCATTTGAGTTTCCAGAGAATCTTTGTATAAGGAGACTTCATTTTTCATAGTACACTGATAAATTTTCATCTTAGTTTTATACATTGATGTCTGAGAATGTGGTTAATATGAAAAAGCCTCAGAGGAAATGAATTCTTTCTCAATTTGTTGACAAGGTTTGAGTTCTTAAAGCATCTATAAGACTTCATATCAATATTAGAAGCCCATGTAATTAACTAATAGGTATAACAAGGAGAACTGGACATCATGTACCTCCCACAGAGCAACTATCAAATATAAACAGCACGCAACTTCCATACCCTAGGAGACAATGATGTAATCCTGACTATAGTTTATATAAGGATCTTCCAAATTATTCTGGACTGACTTCTGGCCTTTGTACTTGACATATAATGGGTCCTCAAATGATGACTTCTTTCTATATAGCAATTCTCATACATGTATCTATTAATATTATATTAACATGTAAATGCTGAGTAAAAGTGGCCAGACAAAAAGAGTAGATATTATATAATTCTTAAGTAACAGAAAGCAGATCAGCAGTTCCTGGCTGGGGAGGCGGGAGAGCAGAACAATGGGGAAGGAGGGAGGCAGCAAGGAAGGATTATAAGATGCATGAGGAAACGTTTGGGGGTGATGGATAAGTTCATTTTCTTGATTCTGGTGACAGTTTCACAAATGTATATACAGTTGTCAAAACTCACCCAATTGCACAGTTTAAATATATGTATTTTATAATGCGTCAGTTACATTTCAATAATGCTGGGAAAAAAAGAGAATAAAGGCTTTTGCTCTGGGAAAAAAATGTTTGCTAATAATAAAAAATAAATAGCTGAACCACAAAAATCCCATTTCAACTGAATTTAAGATTCTTTTAAATTATTTTCTTATATTTTTCCTGCTTTCTAGAATTAAGTTTCTTGATTACCAATAATACAAACTGCCCTAATTTTGAAGTTACTCATTTCCCACAAACTCTTTCTTTCTTCTTCCTCTTACTACCTTTTCCTGAGTGTCCCTTAAAGGCTTATTCCTGGGCTCTTGGAACTCTTCCTTCTTACAATGAACTGGATAATGCTTATTTTAGTGCTTTACAGTTTAAAAAAGTATTTCCACACTCTTTTCAAATCAATCCTGAAAAACAGGCTCCTGCAAGGTACATATTTTTAGTATACTCATTTTACAGATGAAAAAACTGAAGTTGAGAGATCAAATATACCTAAGTTGCTCAAGATCAAACATAGAGTAATGATCGATTTGGAGTCAAATACAAGTCTACATACTCAAGTACATTTTGTCTCCTCACAACCTACCATCTTGACACCCTTTATTTCAGTCATCATCTACCTGTAGATGATTCCTGGTCCATACTTTTAACTCTATTTGTTGACTATATTTGTCTACAAATTTCTTCCTCTTGGAAATCTAGAAAGAAAAATAACTAAAAATAACCAGGAAATGTCAGAAACTGAATTGAACATGTTTCCCACAGATTTCTACTTTAAGTGTCTCTTTTTTGTCCATGGTTTCAGAGGTCTAGACCAGGATCTAGATTTACAAGATTGACGTTATCTTTTACTTTTCCCTCTCCTCAGTACCTCCTATATAGTAAAGAATTTGGCCTTGCCCTAAAAGAAGTCTGGCCTTTGCCCTATAGCTTCTGGGAAGTAGTCTATGTTATACCCGATAGGAATTTTTTTGTGTAGGGTAGGGGCTGGCCGTACCCAATAGTTGTAGACTGGGGGCTGTCCACACCAAAAAGGCCAACTATGTGTTTCAGGGTAGGACTCTGGGTCACAAGGTATCAGTGACCTAGAAACTGAGTTCAAACACATGGGCAATCAATCAATCATGCCTAAATAATGAAGCCCCTCTAAAAACCCTTGGTACTGAAGCTTGGGTGAGCTTCCCTAGTTTGGAATCAGTGCATACAGCCACACATTAACTCAGGGAGAGAAGTATGTCCTGAGGACAACAGCAGCTTAGTTTTGGAACCCTCTCAGATTCTGCCCCGTGTGTCTCCTTCTTTTGATCAATTTTAATCTCTACCCTTTCCCTGTAATAAACTGCTGAGAATGACAGCTTTTAGTGAATTCTGTGAGTCCCTCTAATGAACTATAGAACCTGAAGGTAGTTTTAGGAAGCTGTCAAGCTTGCCGTTGGTGTCAGAAGGGCAGTCTTGAGGACTCTGCCCTCAAATCTCACATTCCGACTAATTCCAGGTACATAATCTAATTTGTCACAAAGGCCTACCAATACTTTTTCTATAAAGACTGAGACTCAACACGTCCACATGATATTCAAACAGAATAATCAAAAAATATTTTCTAATTGTGACTGCCAATACCATGGATTTCTTCAGGAGCTGCTTTGGGAATGAGAATAGAGGGTAGTGGGAGTCTTAGAAACATCATGGTTCAATTTGAAAACCATTGGTCCAATGGAGTGGACACAAGCTTTGGAATCTGCCACTCAATTATTAAGTGGCTTCAGGCAAATTATTTAACCTTTCTAAGCCTTACTGTTGAAACTACAGACAGCAATATCCACCTTCCAAAATAACTGTGAGGATTAAGATAGAAAAGATAGGGGAAAGCCTAATCCAGTGCCTGCCAAATAGCAGATCCACAATAAATCATAAATAACTAATCTCTTCGGTTACTGATAGTTATAAAAGACAACAATGATCTTCTATGATTTTTCCCCTTCAAGTCCATACTGCCAGAATTATCTTTCCCAAATCCCTTTTTTTCATGTTATCACTGTGTTCAAAAATAGTTCTCAATCACATCTAGATCAAATCAGGTAGACTGACTGGGGATTAAGAAGCATGGCTATAGCCCCTGCTTCTGAAACAAAAAAGCTGGACCAACTGGGTCCCCTAAATTTTTCCTAACAGTATCTTTTGAGTCTCATCAAGGTGCCTCTGTCCTATCTAAAGTACCTACATCTATCTTACTTGTTCCCAATTCTCTCTCTTTCCTCGCTCTGCCTATCTGGACTGCCTTCTCTCAGGTAATCCAGATACATTACTTCTTTGAGGACAAGGTACTCTAACCCGCAGCTTTCTAACTAGAATGCATGTGCCTTGAATGGGTCATAGGTATGCTTGATATACTGATCCCTCTGCCCTCCAGGCAGCCAAGGCAGGGCTTGAGACAGTGGGGAAAGGATACACTAATGGCCTTTAGCTGTGAGCAGTTTATGTAATGAGCCATGCAATTACCATTTTTTATGTATGGCATGATGCGAAAAAGATGTTGAGCAGTGCCCTAACCTCACCCCACACAAATCTGCTTCTTTACTCATTATCTTGATGGCATAATTTTTGACTAGTTGCTCTGCTGGATAGGTGACAGTAAGATAAGTAGTGGGAAGAATACGGAACTTATGAATTATCAGGCCTATTCTAACCCCGTAACCTTGGGCAAGTCACAATCGTTCTAAGACTCATTGTCTTCAGAAATAAAACATATATATGCCCACCTCTCAGATTAGGGCAGGGATTTGACTGTACAATGAGCATATAAAAACACAAAATGCTAGGTACTGGTTATCACTATTAACAAATGTTCCCTGAGTTAACTGGCTAGCAATATGATCTCATATGCTAAAAAAAAAAAAAATTCAAACTGAGACATTACAGTTTTTTTCTGGTCACCAAAACTGTCTGATCTTTTATTTGTCCAAGTCCACTTTTAAGCTATCTACAGCTACTGTGAAGTACGTTCCTGGGAAACCAATATGGGTAGTTTGGACATCAGCAGCTAATTTTTCAAACACTGTACCTAAACATGAAGAAGTCTTCCAGGACTTAGTGATTTCCTATGCATCACCTTTCCAAGTCTAAAAAGGTTCCAAAGTTCCCGCATACTTTTTAATTTACTCTCAAGATTTACACCTGCACTATGAACATACGATTACCAATTTATAATCCATAAATCCTGCCTGTAAGATTCTTCCTGTGAAAATTTCCCAGAGGGTATATTTGCTAAAGTGGTAGTACATTATTTTGACCTGGGGACCCTTAGAAATGGCAAGGAGTCAAAAGGTAATGTGTGGGGCTCACTATCTCCTGGTCTATAACATCCTGGGGCTGTCAATGATCTGACAGAGAGTGCTTGGTTAGAAAGAAAAGACCCTTTGGAAGAATCAATAAATAAGAAAGTAACAAGTCAGTATGACCACAGTCCAAAGAAGTCTACAAGGAGAATGTAATACTTAGATACACTGTCACCACATTATGAAATTTCCCACCAAAATCATCTCTTGCCATCCACAGACTCTCCTGGCTCCTTCTCTTTGAGATGAACCCTATGCTCCAATCAGACTGAACTTTCTGCAGTATGTCATGTTCTTCCACAATTCTTTGCCTTGGCTCACACTGTCCTCATTCTACCTCTATACCCTTCCCTTCCTCTTCACCACGGAGTTTTGCTCAGAGCTGTATCTTCAGTGCCTAGTATAGTAGGGTACTCAATAACTAATTAATAAGTGCAACAACACAAGTTCAAAGAAACTGAAAGCATCTCTTGTCCGAGAGCATAGTAGCTCCACTTCGCTCCCTCCCAACACAAACACACACACAGGGTTGGCCGCCCTCTTTTCTGTGCTCCCATGATATTCTGTGACTGAGTCTACATTTTTCACTTGTACCGTAATTATCGGTGAGCTCTATGAGGGCAGGGATAGTAAGATGATGTCACCCTTTATCCCCCAGAACTTTGCACAGTACTTGAGACACAGCGGGGAGACTCAGTAAATGTCTGGCGAAATGAATGTGTCAGAACAACACGAGGATACACGAGCTCACGTCCCATGTTTATTGCCTCCGCGATCCCAATGCGCGCGCCCGGCAACGGCTTCCCCTTGCAATGAGGCTGCCGCGGAGCCCTCCTCCGCAACTCCCTACAGATACGCACACACTCCCTGCCTCCTCCGGCCAATTCAAGTCCAACTGCTGCCGCCGCTCCTTCGGCAGACCCCAAGCCGCCTTTCCAGCTCCGACTCGACTGTGTGGAGAGAGGCTGACACAGAGCCGCGACCGGCGACGCAGCGGGAAGGCGCGAAGGCTACCCCTGGACTCCGCTGCCGCCCGAGGCGCGCCAAAACCGGCCCGGCTCGGACCCCACCTGCCTGGGCGCCACTAGAGCGCGCGGTCCGTGCCCGTGCCGCCGCGCCGGGAAGGGCAGCTCCAGCCCCGCTGGTCCCCCGCACACGCGCCTCCCCCGGGGGCGAGCGCCGAGCCTGGCCCCGGCCCCGCTCCACTCCACCCACCGCTCCGCCGCCCCTTCCTCGGGCGCGGGCCTGGGGTGTGCAGCCCAGACCAGTGCCCCGGGCCCCCGACTGGGGGCGGAGGCAGGGGATGGGGTTCCGCGGGCGCCGACCCACGGCCTTGCGGCCTCCGCCGCTGTTCCTCAGCCCTCAGTCTCCAGACCCCAGCGTCCCGCCGAGTTCCCGGGGCGGCGGAGCGCGGCCCGCGGCGCAGAGCGCACTGACCTGGAAGTGCAGCGCCATCTTCTCGGGAGGCGGCGCCGGCCGGCCGGCCCGGAGAGCCCGAGGGGAGGGAGCGGAGGCGGGCGCCGCGGAGGCCCCAGCAGCCCGCCGGGTCCCTGCGCCGCGCGCTCGCTTGCTCGTTCACTCCCTCGCTCGCGCCGGGTCGCCTCAGCCGCGCGCGGCGTCCGCGTTCGAAACGCCGGCCGGGGCGGGGCTGGCTGGGACGGGGCGGGGCGACGGAGGCGGGGCGCGCGGGGAGGGCCCGAGAGGGGCGTGTCCTCCGGGGGGCGCCAGAATCTCAACCGCCCCTTGAGAGCAAGTTTTAACCGCTGCTGTGTTGGTGGGTCGCGATCTCCCGACCTCTGTCCTTTGACACAACTACCACAACGCAACTGTCAGCCATGGCCCCTGGCACTTAAATCCCCCACGGGCTCTCTTGACCCCTAACCCTCACAACACAACTTTCCCCCATGGCTCCCGACCTGCATCTCCACAGATTTTTTTGTTCCCTAATATTTACTTGCCACTGACACAGCCATAACCTTTGAGCCACACATGCCAACTGCTGCCCTTGACTCTTGATTCTCAGGGCCCAACTTCCATTGTTTCTTTAAAATGTTTTAACTTTGTTTTGGTTAAGTTGTGAAATTCTAACTTTACCTCTTACTCTTTGCCTACATTTCATTTAATATAAACTTATATTAGATGATTCCGTTGGAATGAGAATTTATTGGAGTGGAAGTGGGTCAAAATCTCTCCTTTCTGATGTTCTTCATTTCTTCTTCAAGTTCAATACTTCCATTTGGGGGCGTTGAACTTTAGTATTTAAGGGAGAAAATCTCTTAAATATTTCTTATGGCTCAGGTCTGATAACAATAAATTCTCTCAGCTTTTGTTAATATGAAATTGTCTTTACACCAGTTTTTTAAAGGATAGTTTTGCTGGCTATAAAATTCCACATTGGCCTTTTTTTATCTTTCTGCATTTTAAAGATGTCTTTTCATTGTTTTCTGGATGCCATTGTTTCTGTTGGGAAGTCAGCCATCAGTCTGATTGTTGCTCCTTTGAAGATATCATGTCTTATCCCCCAGCCACCAGCTACTTGAAAATTTTTTTCTTTGGTCTTCAGCATTTTGAGTTTGATGTCACTAAGTCTCTCTGTGTGTATATGTATGTATTTATCCTACTCGTAATTCATAAAGCTTCTTAAATGTGAATCTGATCTTTTTCATCAGTTTTTGAAAAATCTTGGAAAGTATTTCCTTAAATATTGCATCTATCCCCTTCTCTCTTTATCTCTCTTCTCATTCTGGAACTCCAGTTACCTGTATGTTATAACTTTTGCTATATTCCTTATTTCTCTTACATTCTTTTCTTCATTTTTTGCCTTTTTTTTTCCTTTGTGCTTTAATCTGGATATTTTCTGCTGACTTGTCACCCATTCAGTAGAAACTCTGTTCCTCTTTGTCTGAGCTGCTATACAACCCGTCTATTGAATTCTTAATTTTAGTTATAATATTTTCAGTTCCAGAATTTTCATTTAGAAACTTGAAATTTCCATTTTTCCTCCTATCAGTTTTAAAGTAGATTCCAAGGCTCTTCTGAAATTCCTTATCTTTCTTCTATTTTCTTGAACGTTTTAATTATATTATTTAAAGCCCTTATATGATAACTTCAATATCTGAATCATCTGGATCCTCCTGGTTTTTGGTATTTGGCCTTAATTTTCTGTTTGTTTGTTTTTGTGTGAGTGGTTTGTTTTTTGTGGGATTTTTTTTGTTTGTTTGGGGGGGTGTTTTTTTGTTTTGTTTTGTCTTTAACATGCTTCATAATTTCTTGTTGAATTTGGACAGTGTAGAAGAAAATTTGTAGAGGCTCTGGATGATATCAGCTTTCTCCAAAGAGGATTAAGTTTTCTTAGTGTAGTAGGCAGATACAGTACCAGTGGATCATTGAGGCTTGATTTTAAGCTTTTTAATGGTGGTTAATTTCAGTTTTGACCTTACTCCTAGGTCATGGTCCTTCCTAGATCTTACAACTAAAATATGAGATGTTTACCAAGATCATTTCACCTTGCGGGGCTTGAACTCTAATCTCTGTCTCCCCAGCATTATGTAGCTGCTAAAGTCTGTGCTCAGCTCTTTAGGTGCTGTTGTTCTGCTGGATTTCTTGTATTCTGTTCCTGTGCATGTACATTTTAGGAATTGACTGATGATTTGCAGGGAATTTGCATACAGATTTTTGGGCTCACACCTCTGCAGTTTCCTCGTCTCTAGAATTTTGTCCCCCAAATCCCAGCTACTCTTGTTCCCAAACACCCACCTTTGCTCCTGGCCTATTAAGTCTGCTGCTCTCTATTTAGCTGTTACTCCTTGATACCACTTGGAAAATGTTTTGGGGGAGATGGGGAAGCTGAAGTGAATTTGGATCTTTCCTCTTGTGCTTTCCTTCTTTCAAGGTTTGTGGCCAATTAAGTCTTGCCTTCTCCAGTGCCTTCAGTTGTTAAATATATATACTTATTCATCTGGTGTGAAAGGGTGTGTATGCATGTGTGTATATATATGTGTGTGTGTGTGTGTGTGTGTGTGTGTGTATGCGTATATATACATAATTGTTAAATATTTACTTATAGTTGTTATTTATATTTACTATATATAATAGAATTATTAAATATATATTTTATATATATGCATACACATTTGTCCTGTTTTTACAATTGGACAGTGGGAGGTCTAACCAAAATTAGATATGCTATTATTACAAGACTGTCTGCAACTTCCATTCTTGACCCTCAATCTTCACAGCTTATCCACAGCCCATGAATCCCCATCCCCACAACTCAACTCCTAAACTTTAAAATTTTCAATACCCTCATCCTGCCATTTTTCACTCCTACATTCCAAAGTTCCTGATTCCTGTATTCTCACTTCCATTTCCATATCTTAAAACTTTTGATATCCAATCTCAACTGTGATCCCCACATCTCAACATTTCTGACTTCCATATCCCAAACTCCAATTATGATTTCTGTCCTATCACATATGCTGCACAATACCCCATTATATTAACTCTCTGTTGCCTTTGCCTAACTTCTAAGTCCCAACCACCTTTTAAAGCTATTGTTTTAAAGTGGCATTTCTATCACCTCAGATTTTAGGTCCTTAGAGCAGAAGCATTATTTGAGTTTTGGTCATTTAACTTTTTTCCCACTCCAGAACATCCTTGGCACAAACATAGGGTTGTGATAGGAACAATAGAGGATGCTGACTGTTCTGTGGATTCACCAGGTAATTCTGGAAATGAGAAGCCAATTGTTTTTTCCCCACTAAATTTGAGTGGCTGCTTAAGATTTCTGTTTTCAATTAACCTTCCCTTCAGTGGTTGTCTATCAACAAAATATACATACAGCTCCATATCTTTTATGTCAGTTAATAAAATTTAAGATAGAATTATATCACTAGAGCTATTAAAATTAGCACAGAAGATGCTCCAGGACGTCAAATAATTCATTTCTATCACAAAACTCAATTAAAGGAAGGACATTTAGTGCCCTTAGGAATTACAAAATTATCTTCCTTTATGGCAACTAGCCTTCTAAAAAAGACAGACGGATTTTTGATCTTTGTACTTTTTCAGAGGATTCAATTAACATTTGTAATTCTGGTACCCAGGGAAACATCTCTGAGTTTTGATTTGTTATTTCTAAGACAGGGATGACAGTAAGTCTATAATTCAAAGAATTTTATAAACAATAACATGAGGTGAGGCAGCAGAGCACAGTGGTTAGAAAAACAGACTGTGGCGCCAAACAGCCTGGATTTGGATGTCAGCTGCATCACTTACTAGCTGGTAAACTTGGTGAAGTCGTTTCACCTCTCTATGCCTTCATTTGCTCATCTGTAAAATGTAGATATAACAATACCTATCTCATAGGTTGCTGTGATGATTAAATGAATTAATATATGTGAAGTATTTAAAAGGCATATGGCAAATAATAAATGCTACATAAATAATAATTATTATCAGGTAAGTTTGTATTATTCTCTGAATGTAATGTTTAACATTGTATTTTTAATGGAATGGGATTATAATTTTATCAAACAGACTAAATTATTCTAGCCTTCTTTCGTTTGTAAATTTACCGGGAAGCTGGATATTTCCTCATTCTCTGATCCCCCGCATTACCCAGCTTCTGTAGACTGGACAATTTTGAAAGGATGTGACATTTTCTATTTAATATTTTTATAATTTGTGAGACTGAAACTTCAAAATATCTGACTAAAATTCTCTATCAATACTTAAAATGTAAAACCTGTGATCAATCATTTACTTTAGTAACACATTTAAACAAAATACAGGACATATTAGTACCCAATTCCCTTAACTTATTCTACAAATGCAATTATATTAAGTACATTTAGCAAGATTGCTTAATACCTCAGTATGTTTGGGGAATCCAGCCAAGGGAAGACAGTTAAGAGAAATAGGAGAATGCATCCACAATATTCAAATTTACGTAGCCCCCCCCCCAAAATACAACAGTTGCATAAAAAATTCACCTGTTTTTCTTTCATGCTGGTTGATTTCAACAATATTTTTGTTTTATCAAGTCATTGACCTTAAACATTGTTTATCAAATATCCACTGCAAAACCAGAGTATAATAACAACAAAATTCTTCTTGTTGTTGATATGGATATGAGTTATTTCACAATCTTGATTATTACATATATACTGAAAACTATACATGTTATTCTTTAGATGGGTTTATATTTTCAACATAACTGGCAATAGTAAAGGTATACTGCTATGTATTAATTATTCAAGTATTTTGACAAATAGAAATGAAATAATATTTATTCTGTATATTGCCTTATATTAGTTGCATATTAGTGCTTCCACATAATAATAAATAGTTTTAGGCCGGGCGCGGTGGCTCACGCCTGTAATCCTAGCACTCTGGGAGGCCGAGGTGGGCGGATTGTTTGAGCTCAGGAGTTCGAAACCAGCCTGAGCAAGAGC